TTACATCATAGCTTTCACATTCTGTAAAATATTAATCACCTTGTGTCATACCATATGGTTTTTAAAGTATATACACTGCATTATTTAATATTTTCCACTTGCTAATTGCTGATTCAAGTGCATAAGTAATTAAGAGGAAAGTAAAATAATTTAAAAAGTAAGAGTCAGTGTGTTCATAAAAAAAATATAATGAGCTGAATTTACACAAGGACTTGCTAAACACAAGGACAAGACACAGATATAAAAAATTATAAAACATATTGCAATATGCTGTACTTTGAATTATTGATTTATTTTGTTTGTGATTCAACAATCTGAAACTGCTAAATCTACCTACATACATACTTTCCATGTTTGTGTATGTATTCACGCACAAGAGTGTGAGGTTGACAGTTATCTCATTACTCTTCACCTGACCAATTTTAGTCTTTCTTGATAGTTTTTCTCTTCATTTGCTTTTTCTGCGTACCATTATTTCTTTACTCACCTACACTGAGGATGGCTTTTAAGTTTGTTTATAATATTAACCAGACTTGACAAATATGGATGCTCAATTGCCTGAGAACAAGTGTGATAGAATAGCGGGTGACACCTTTTGTGACTAACTCATCTCCCAAAGTAATTCAGTCTTCAAAAGATCCTCAATGGAACACATCTCAAAAAGAATGTGCAAATAAAGCAAGCTCACTTACAGCAATATCAAACGAGCATTTTTTAATAAGGAATTTTGTGACTGAAATGTTGACAAACATCTCGTATGTGGATCTTATTTTTATCACCTCAGTCATTGCTGAAAGTATGTACATGCTTAGATATATCATATCATATGTGGTTACTAAACTTATTATGACCTGCATTCATTGAAATACAATGCCACCTAAAATGCATGTTATTTGAACAGAATGCAAAACACACTAAAAATAGTTATTGATACATGCCTCATTATACATCATGGCATGTAGTTCAGTGATGATTTAAAGAAATAATTAATTCATGAGCCTACCATGATGCAGGCATAGGGAATTTTCTATACTGTCAAGTCCTGATTAACAATTAAATGGATTTTTACAGAAAGAATTTCAGAGGCAAATGTCCTTAGAAACACTTCATTTGAATATCAGATTCTCTTGTCAGATTTGTCTAATAGCAAAACGTTTGTGAATAAATAACTTAAACAATCCTTCAATGAACATGTCTTTGGTAACACATACATATTCTGGAATGAATGGGAAGTAACTTTATTAACAAGCCTAAACTACAGGAATTGAGATAATGTTAGATTCTCTAGTGACTTTGTTCATATAATACTGTTGATTAGAGATAACCATAAATCAGGTCTACCTCAGTCAACTAGATCACACAGACTTCTATTAAATTACAACTCTCTACAGAAAGTTAAATATTGCCTTTATGACTCTGATACCATCTGTGGGTCAGAGTTCTTCCTCTTGTAAGTCATAATGTGGACGGTTCCATAGTACAATTTTAAGGCCTGTCCAAATACATGCCATTAGAATATCTTAGAGCCTAAGTCCCAACTTCTTACAGTTTATAATAATACTTAAATAGAGTTAAATCATAGGTCAAAACTAGTAATATTATCAAAGAAAGAGGTTACAATCCTATAACAACAATAAAGCTTACAACCAAAATTGAAAATGGTACATGACTTTACTGTTAATGAAAACTGTAGACATATAACAGGAAGCGTGCACACAGTATCAGAAAAATCAGATCATTATGAAAGGACACTGAAAAAAGAATCATAGAAAAATCCTAAATTACAAATCATCATATAATTCCTGTTAGTACCATATTATTTGGCGTACAAGCACTTTCTTTGCAAAGAAGAAAAAGAGACTTTAGAAATACACTTGAAATTTTGCACACCAGGAAAATTTGTCTGAGAAGGGCTTTGAAAACATGGGTACATATTATACACACAAAAAAAAATATGGAATATTCTACTGGGAAATCACACTGATACAAATGACAAATAAATTCGCAGACATTCACACAGACATATTCAGAATCTCATGAAGATAAATACCTTTGCATTCATGAGACTCACATTCCTTTGGAATCAAGATTTGAGAATTAAAACATTTATATCTACTCAATAACTTAACAAGCGATAAATCACAGATAATTAAACAACCATGTTTGAAATACATTACTCTTCATTAGGCATATTACTTCAGCATTGAATATTATTATTTCACATACTTGATTTCTCATATCAATAATGGGAATGTTCAAGTTTACATTCTTTACATAAATAAAATCTAAATATTGAACCACAAAAGACTAATAAATAGCTGTTCTGATACCACACTTCAACATCCCTAAAGGTTCTTTAATGCAGACAATATTACTAATAATGACAAAAGAAACTTGAATAACATTTTACAAACATTACAAAATCAGACCTGACTTTCAATACTTTTCATGTACACAAAGAGATATTGTGTTTCATTTTATTTCTTCACATATATGAAACAAACTGACATGGCATCCAGTATGTAATCCAAAACATCTGAAATTTCACATAAAAAATATAATAATGGTGATGATGATAATGAAAATGAAATTGAAAATAATGTATTAAAAATAATAATAACAAAGATAATAATAATAATGATAATCATAATAAAAATAGTAATGATAATAATAATAATCATCATCATAATAATGATGATAATAATAATAATGATGATAATAACTATAAAAAAATCATAATCATAATAATAACAATGAAAAAAATAATAATGATAAAAACAATATCAGTAACAAAAACAATAATTACAATAACTAAGTAAAAGCAAAGCAAAAAAAAAAAAAAAAAAACTCACATTTCCCCCAATGTCTAAAAAATGCATCAAAACACAATTAATGCAATATGTAAACGACTATTATCTGTAACTATGTGACCTAAACCTTCCTCATTTTGCTTAACAATTTTCCTTCATCCAAAACTGTTATCTTCCTTTGCTTGCTCATCTCACTGGTATCAACTTCACCTTAGTTTATAATGTACAACCCAAGACACTCCTTTCTTAAAGCTTTTGTCCAATATATCTTTTCAACTGATAAAATATAATGGAAGGCTTACCACCTGCAACAGGGGTATGTCAGCTGCATATACATCAGCCAAAAGCAAGAGCATTTGTACCAAACTGTACATCTGCAATTTCTCTATAAATATTTGTTCATATTTATTCGGCCTGGAAATTGAGGTAAGTAACTGTAAAAGAAACTTGGTATTTATAAGTTGACAGTACAATTCAACGAGAAATGACATTATTTCACTATGATCTCTGATCTGTATCTGGAAAATAATGGTGCAAGAATATTGTACAAAGTTAAGGAATATAGTATGTAAATCATTATTGGATAGATTTGAAACTTCACATATTTGCCTATAAAATGCAGAAAATTATTTCATATTTCTGTAAATAATCTGTAACACATTATGAGGTAATTAAAAAGAAAAGACACATCTCATTATTATATCTTTTTAGGATAAATCATCATAACTGCCCTATCTTTTTCCAAAATCAAATTATCAAATAGACTCAAAGTCACCCTAATCAAATAATTTTACCAACTTATTTCCACGACCCAGTCCATTATAAAGTGTAAAAACCATTAAAAGGTTAGCAGACACTCAAAATACTTTAATTTAATCAAATCATCCTTCAGAAATAATTCAATAACATCCTATACATACTAATTATGAAATCAATACCCATACGTTCATAATGTGATAGCCATAAAGTACTTTTTTTCTCAATAATGAAAGAAAAGTTAGGAGTATTTACAGTTGAGCATATAAGGCATATAAGCAATTTCCTTAGGCCCAAATATTACTTAACCCAGTGATGTTGCACACACGCACTGGCCACTGTGGCTCTGTTTTATTAACTTAGTCTATACACTGATGACTTCACAAGCACTTACTCACTAATGAGTCAAGAAATAACCCTAACTGATGTGCCGTCTGTTAACTTTCGAATTTTCAGGAAATATCATAATTATTATCATTATCATTATTACGATTATAACCCTATTATTGCTAATAATAGTCATTAATATGAAGACTTTTCTTCCTGAATATCCATGGAATGGAGGAAAGACATGAGATCAGGTAAACCCAGTAACTGACTCCATGACGACGACATGCTTCTGGAGCCATCTACGTGCCAACAAAATAAAACAAAACTGCAATGCATAGTACATGAACGTGGCATCAATGAGTCAAACCTCTCTTAAGTGTGAATGTGACAGCTGTTTGTGAAGTAACTCTACTCTGGGTTACATCATTCATCAATGGCACTTTGATTTCATGTGAAATAAGACATCAATATTATATACAGATCATATCTAAATAGAATAAAAAGTTCTATCTATAAAATTATTATAAAAAGTAAAGATTCTGTGTAACACTGTACTGAATATATATTTCTTATATTGATTTCTACATTTCATGACAAATACATAACCTTTGGAAAAAATGGCGACAATAAATCACAGTTGCAACAGTACGTAACACTGCCAACCTTTTAAGGGGATAGAATCTGACAACTTTATAGCACCTTATGGCTAATTATCAAAACTTATTCTATTTAAATAAAAACCAAAAAAACAAATGGAATAGTGTACTTTCAAAAAGTTACTTGTAAATATAATTTAACTTGCATGAGTTTTCCACTTCGGTAATAAAAATATACAAATGAGATAATGAACGTTTATCTACAGAATTCATCATCTTCTGAATGAAATAAATTTCATTATTTCATTACTTGATCTTTTATCAACAATAACCATTTATACAATACATCATCACTAGCCCTTTAGGCCAAAGAACTAAACACTGATCAAATAATATGGCCTGAAGACAAGAAAAAGGAAAGAAAATGAAAAGGAAAACATAGTCCATAAGATAATGCAGCAAGAAGCTACTCATCTAAAATATATATATATATATATAAATATGGAGTTCTTAGGTGTTTGTCTTCTTTTCATTTGTCTTTTTATCATACTGCGCATAAGTGGGTCTTCCGCCTGCCAATTCCAAGAGGTAACGGTCAGGGTTGTCCACCCAGTCTACGGTGTTAAGATTAACCTTCCTCCTGTTTTCCGAGTCCCTCACCTCCCGTTTCTTCTGCTCGACCTGTGCCTCTCTGAAAGAAAGAATTAATAACTTACACAGGAAGGAATGTAATTGGCATATCATTTATTCTTACTTATGCCTTTACTGTATCACAATAACCTCTGTTCAAGCCATGAAAAAATTACAAGTAATAATAATAACAACAATAATAATAATAATAACAATAACAATAACCATCACCATCATCTAAGAACTATATTTTGAAATCTGATAAAAAATAAAAATGCTGAGGCATAATAGAAACACAATTTCACACACACAAATACACATTCACTCTGTCTATCTTTCACTAGCTGCCAGGAAAGATCCAAGTTCACACTCTCATGACTCGTTTGGGAACAAAAAGGGCAAAGAACGCAATCAGGTTAAATGCTTACTTAGCTTCAGTAGTTTCACCCCTATGGAAAACAACTTATAGGGTATTCTGCGATAGGTGACTAAACTGAGGTTTAAATCCACAGTCAACGCACGGTTTGTACTGTCAGTTCCTATGTGGATGCCCGTCGGAAACCCCCTTGACGTTACATTGAAGTACATCATCTTTGGTCCACCTAATCAAAAGAAAAGAATGCTTAAGAACTATAATTCTTATTTGTGAATATCCACGTGAGCATAATATATCAGAAAATAAGTACACGTATAAAAAAAAATGAAGTGTGCTTACTTTCAATAACTCTGTATTCAGGAGTTAGATGCATGCAAAGACAATGGTCAGAACCCCAAAAGTGCTTTGAATCTCTCCAGGCTTCGTCACTGGCGAGGCAGAACATATTTCCTCCTTCTGCGGTTATGAGCATCAGAGTAGGCCCATGGTAGCCAAACACATGGTGCTGGAATCTATGTGAAGAAATTAATACATAAAATACCTCTTTCTCAAAATTATCAAAAATACAGTATCTACTTGTCCAAATCAACAAAAATGTTTATCAAAATGCATTTCAGAAGTGAACACAGAATTTTGTTTTCTTTCTGTTCTATTTATCTCCATCAAAAAAAAAAAAAAAAAAAAAAAAAAAAAGCCTCTCAGACAACACTGCTGTAGTGTGATCATCTGACGAGTGAACAAAATGCACTATTTAAAACTGAAATTGAAATTAACATGAAAAGGCACACAGATATATTTTAGTCTAACTGATATTTCTGCCTAGAAAAAATGGTATATAATATATTACCTGTTAATACTGAGGCCATGGTTGTCGCTGTTATACAGAGGAACCCAGTGTGTAGGACTTACAGCAGAAATCTGTAAGACAGACAGAATTATTTTATTACTATAATGATAACAAAATCAGACTGAAATAAGAAGTCAAAAATGGGCAACATGATCTACAGAATGTTGTCACTTAATACAAAGGAATCCAGTGTGAAGAACTTACTGCAGAAATCTGTAAGAAAGAAAATTAGCAATCATTATTATAATACTAACAGTATCAGAGTGAAATAAGATGTCAAAAAACTACATAAAAGTGTCACTGTTATACAGAGGTGTAACTGTTATACAGATGTGTCATTGTTATACAGAGGTGTAACTGTTATACAGATGTGTCACTGTTATACAGAGGTGTCACTGTTATACAGAGAAATCCAATGTGTTGGAGACTTACTGCAGAAATCTGTAAGACAAAAATTATTTTCTGTTACTACGATGCTATCAGTATCAGAGTAAACTAAGATCTAAAAAAATGGGCAACATGAGCTATATATAACATACTCTAAAGAGAAAATTACATATTGTAAATCTTGAAGTAGGAAGGGAATAAGTATAAGTGAAACAAGTAGAAAGCTACAGGAAACCTTAACATCCAAAGGAGAATAAAATTAAAAATAGTGACAAACTCACGTGCCAGCACACTTATGAACAATACTGATGATGTGAATGAGGATATATATGAATAAACCTCAATCTTTATGATCAAGCTACAAAAAATAAAGTTATAGAAGTGACTCTTTGACTAAGTCACAACCAGCCCTGGGCAGATGTCTCACCATTCTATCGATAAAGATGTGTGGATCAAGTAAGAGAGAATTGGAAGCCGGGAGACTCTTCTGTTGTTTGCTGTAGAGGGTTGGCAGGGTGCAGGTCAGCAGCCAGATTAGCGCAGGGTGTAATGTGATACAAGACGACTTGTTTGGGCAGTCTAGGATGGGTGTATCTGTGTCATCCTGCAGAAATAGAAGGTAATGTAAATGAAAAAGCCTCCTCTTAACATCAACTATTTTTGTCTCTTGACCATATATAATTTTAATTTATTCACTTTTTGCTTTCCTACTACGTCTCTTTTTATCAGTTATCTACATCATTTAGCATCCCAGTCAGCAGAATTCTTGATCCTATTAGTAGATAAGCAAATCATAACAACGAGGAAGAACACAACATAAAAGAGCCACTGAAATAATAATAACAATAAAGATAATACAAAAGCAATTCTAGGAGTCACACCTCATCTTCATTGGTGTTATCAGGAATGGTGCGGTGACCCACTGTCAACATGTGTGTGATGTACTTATGGACCCACATGACCAAGCGGGGGCAGTTGTGCGATACCCAGCCATGCAGGTACTTCTTGCTCACACTTTCCTTCCCATGCATCTGTTGGGAGAATTTAAAGTGGTCAGCTTGGAGGGCATTGTACATGAACTTTTTAGAAATGTAACCATTACAAAAATCAGGGCATACATCACTATGATACATCCTGCCCCCCAAAAAATCTTATGAATTCAAATTAATAATCTAACACTTACTGCTGCTTTAACTACTGCCATCAAAATATCATCTGGAAGGCAGCATGTTTGATGAGCGACTTTGCTTATATGGTAGGCAGCAAAGACTAGTTCATATAGATTTCCTTGACTGATCTTTTCCTCATCTCCAGCAAACACCTGCAAATGAGAGGAAATTTACTCTACTTCTTTCCTATGGAGCATTGCCAGTAAGCTCAGGAAGCTCACCATCTGTCAGTTATTATACATTATAGTCTTAATCCCATTTACAATACATATATCCAAAGAGAAAAGGAAAACAAAACAAAAAAATCCTTCAGAACTCATACATGTATCATGAAACATATCAATATAAAATAGCATTACCTATTTATTTCTTTATCATCTTCTTGATAATACACACTTGAAAAGAAAAAGTAGAAGAATCTAATTCAATGTCTATTCTAATGATACAAAACAAAAATTCATCTCCCCAGACCTGAATGTAGAACTCCAGTTGTTCACTATCTGACAGGAGTCCCAGGATATAGTGTGATGATGCTATGAATGCAGACCTAGACAACAAATCCCCAAAGTTTGCCTTCTCTTGGACTTCATTACTTGAGTTCTCCTCCTGCCAGTGTCTGACCAGGTGCTGGAACAGCCTGTGACCAAGTGGTTTGTTGGCCTTACAAATATATTTCTGTAAAGGAGTCTACTGTTAGTGAAAGGTTAAAGAGATTTCATCATTTCCAATGGTTTTAACATATTGCATGAGTGTACAGTGCTGTTTGAAGTATGGAATAAATTCTTTATCATAAAACTGAATTTCTTTTGAAACTAACAATAATGGAGAGAAGAAAATCAGTCAACTCTGAGCTTTATATATAATCCTACAAAATGTATTTCTAAAGTGCAACAAACAATAGACAAAGACTTACAAGGAACACATTTTCAGTAATGCCATCTATATTATCTTCAGCCAGAGACTTTTGCACAAGAATCTGAAACAAGAAAAGGGTAGATCATTACTTTAAACAGTAATTTCTAACAGTACATACTTATGAAAGGGGAAACAAGTTATAGAAGAGGAAACAGAAAGGTCTGAAATATCATATAAGCATACTGTTTTATCACAGATTAACATTCTGATTAACAAATTTGAAGATTTATTTAATATCAGTTTACCATCTAATGAAACATTATTTGGGATCAGAAATAATAATCAAAGCATATTCATACTTATGACTTCAGTTTCCAAAGACTGAGCCTCTTTTAAATCAGACTTCACTGCACTCTCAATCTGTCACAGTTTGAAGCAAAGGATGTTGCTGATTCTATACTATTGAATATTACATCAATAAAAGCCTTCTCAATGAATTTACTAACTTTCATAACTTGCAGTCACAAAAATTAAGCCCTCTGTCAGGAATGGGAATCTCCCCTAATGAAAAGCTGGCATTATATTCAAAACCCAACTAAAATACAAACTCTGCTTAACCCCTTATGGTCTATGTGCATTGATCAAAGTTTCAAAATGTTTACGCAGAGCTAATCCTGTGATAGCTGTCAAAAACTGGCAGGATATTTCCCAACCTCTTTTTTTATGTGACTGGGTCATGCCTCACCCACTGTCCTATAAGTAGTTTCCTTTCCTCTGACCTTATATTCTCCCTCTTGGGTTTAGAAGTGTAAGGCTAATTGTCTACCTTTATTTTGGTATTAGTAAGATGTAATGACATACATAATATGACATCATAGAAGTGAGCCAGTGACAGATAAATATTCTATCACTATTTTAGTAAAAAATCACAGATGCCGAGGGACACCCCTTCATATTATGTCTGTCCCAACTGCTGGAATGAGGACTTATACGCCCTAATGCAATGCGGACAATCACCGTGGTACAGAGCAACACGCATTCATTTGCACTCATCCTCACCCGATGATGGGCGTACCACTTGTTAATGGGTTAAATATTCTCAGTTGGAAAAAATGTTTAAAGATTTCTGACTAAGGGGGTCAAGGGGTTACCAATGGTATAATCTAATACAACATTTTTGTGGGTAAAAATAACAGGTTATCCTAAAGTAAGTAAATTATAACATTGCAAATAATTCGTCTTAGATCTGCCATTGACAATCATGATGACATTTGCAATTCTATTCTTGCTACAGACTTGGACACGCACATAACAATTGCTATGACAATAGCTCAGAAACGAGAGTGATTATTTGTTCCTGGACACGTAAACCAATTCTAGAATATTATTCCTTCTGTAATAAGCAAGCCCTTTATCTAGATACTATTTTAATCACCCTCTGCAATGAGTTTAATGATGATAAGATACATGAGAATCAATTGTCAAATGAGAAAATTACCCGAGTCTCATTGTACCTGTGGTATCTATGATCGGTTAAATAAAAACATAATGGTGGATCTTTGGAACAGTCATGTTGAAAGTAATATCATCCTTATATGAATAATAAAATGGAGAAACAATGTGACATATCATGTTATAAAACAATGTAGTCTACCTAACCTGGAGGATCTATGAAATATTTACGCTGAATATCTTAAAGTTGTATAGGTTTCATTGTTTTCACGAGTTTTCTAAAAAATAAGAAAATAAAATAAATAAATAAATAATAATAACAATAAAAAAAATAATAATAATTAACCCTTAAGGAAAGTATTATAGCACAATAAACCAAATGTAATGTTTCTTAGTTTTTATATACATATTTTTTACCACATACCATATCATGTCACAAATACTGCTATTATGACAATTTGTGACAGTTGTAATTCAGACTTGTATTACACTCATTGCCCTTTCATCTGAGCTTGAAAAAAACTCCAAGTATTCAGTAGTAATGTGATATATATATATATATATATATATATATATATATATATATATATATATACATATATATATATACATATATATACATATATATATACATATATATATATATATATATACATATATATATATATATATATACATATATATATATATATATATATATATATAATATATATATATATATATATATATATATATATATATATACATATATATATACATATACATATATACATATACATATATATACATATACATATATATATATACATATATATACATATATATACATATACATATATATACATATATATATATACATATATATATATATACTATATATATATATATATATATATATATATATATATATATATATATATATATATATATATATATATATACTATATATATAATATACTATATATATATATATATATATTATATATATACATATATATATAATATATATAATATAATATATATATATATATATATATATATATATATATATATATATATATATATATATATATATATATATATATATATATTTTGATGCCAATGCTGATGAAACTAGTACCTTTAGTCACCGGTAGGGGCCCATTAGAAGCTAAGACGGGCACTATGTATACTTGAGAAATTGCAAGGGAAAATTGCAAATAACTATGTGACTAATTATGATTTATAAACCTATCAAGATGGAACCAAAAGAACCTTTCATATAATTCATCACTTGCAATAGTACGTAATAATGGAAATGTCATGCCTTTGAAAGAAATAATAGTCCATTTTGACTATACAACCTACTATGTCAATAGCACCAATTACGCTTGAAATACCTCTTAATATTGACGGAGCCAGTGCAAATATGGATCTTAAGCCATCTATACATATGTCGTTCAAGTTTCCATACACATTCAGTTCACATACTAGAATCCAGAAACTTTCAGATCTGGAGTCAATTATGTATATGATATTCTAGAAAACAAGTGAGGGTATTTCCAATATATCCATACAGAACTTGGCTAAACCTGACAGGTAATGACAGCTAAGGAACCATTTTTAGTAACATAAACATTTAGCATGTGATTAATACAGTATCTGTTATCTACCGATACAATGAGAGTTATTAGATACAGATGTGGCATCCATTATTGTATATACTGAATCTATCAAAACCTCTCTTACTTCTCTTTCTCTGCCACTGACAGGTTTACTGCTGATATGTATTTTATGATAATATAATCTAAAAACATTTGATTAACTGTGCAGGTTCTATCTTTCTCAATCATACCTTGGCAATGATATTGTAAACTAGACTGACAGGTAAGGAGGATGGCAGTACCTCCTTTACATGGGAATGGGGCTCCTACATTTCATATTCATGTCCAATTTGCATGGTCTTTGTGTATTACAACATTAGGCCTAATTACTGGTGTTTTGAATAATACCACAATTTTTCCTGCTATGCTTTCTACCATTCCTAGCTATAAAGGCCATTATAAACACTAGACTGCCACTAAATAAAGCTACTAAATATGAATGAGTGTATATCAAAAGTAATCCTTCAATACCTGTTTTGTCAACTATATCAAAGAGATACTAAACAAAGGACTAAACATATTAGTCCTTTGACACTGATTTACGCCTCTAACACTTTATTTTCGAACCTACGTTAAAGATCGCTGTTTAAAAATATAGCACATCAAGGTCTAAATAAATATTTATTACTGGCATTACTTAGACTTGGAT